TGAACATTGACCTATGAACCAGGAAGCCATCGTTGGATTCCCGATCAGGGTACATGGCCAGGTTTTGGGCTTTGTCTCCAGCAGGGGGCATGCAGGAAGCAGCCAAAGATTCTTTCTCTCTCTCTCTGAAATGAATAAAAACATACTTAAACATTTTGAAAATAAATGAATTAAAGCATGAGACTCCAAATGAAGTTATATAGAGAAGGGTTTTCTTCTTTTATTCATTCATTTACTCACTTCCTGTATTGAATACACTATGTTTATGTCTAAGAGAGAAGGTAGCGATTGGATACAAGGGAAATGATGGCTTACTTAACACAATTAGAAGAGGCATTTAACCTCGCAGAGGGCAGAAGGGGATGAGAAGTGAGGGCACACTTATCAGGAAGGTGGATGACCTGAGGAGCTAATGTTTATCTTGACTGTGTAAAAAGGAAAAAACAAAAACCTAACAGTAAATGAAAGAGGTGAAGGGATGAAAGTGTGTGGTGAGAATTCCGGCCACGGGAAGTAGGTTAAGGTGCAGAGTGCTGTACATTCAAGAAACTACAAGAGCCCAGCCGGCATGGCTCAGTGGTTGAGCATAGACCTATGAACAGGAGGTTACAGTTCGATTCTTGGTCAGGGCACCTGTCTGGGTTGCAGGCTCCATCCCCAATAGGGGGCATAGGAGGCAGCTAATCAATGATTGTCTCTCATCATTGATGTTTCTCTTTCCCTCTCCCTTCCTCTCTAAAAACAATAAAAATATTTTAAAAAGAAACAAGAAACTATAAGAGCACAAAGGGCCAGGTGGGAGAGACAGGAGATGAGGCCTGAGAGGGAAGGGTCAGATTTCAGTGGCTTAGGGATCAGGTGGAGAGTAGCTTCATCCTGAAATGACTGGAGAGTAGTTGGAAGGATGTAAAAGTAGGATGACATCATCAGATTTATTTTAGGAAGTCACCCCAGCTGGAAAATGGATTGGAGGGAGATAAAAGGATAAAACGTGGGTACAAGAGATGAGGATGGCTTAGTCTGAGGTGATGACGGTGAGGATGCAAGGGTCATCAGAGCACTGAGGCAGTGAGGGGGTGGGGCTGGAGAAGCATCTGCTGGTTTTCAAACAGCTTGAGAAAGAAACAGAAGTACAAGTAGGATGCCATTTTATTCCACATCAGCCATTTCTTTTCCTCTTCGGGCCTTCGCTGAAGGCTATTGACATGGATCAACATGGATGTGAGTGCAGAGGCCCAAGAGGCTCTGGTTTGAAACCTTCTCCCCTGTGGGAACAATGAGTGGAAAGGAAAAGGGACTAGAGGCAAGAGGTAGCAGCGAACTCTCAGTGGACTGTGCGTTATGCATAAAGATGCAGCTAAAGATAGTCTTCCCCTGGAATGAGCAGTCAGCAAAAACTAAAAGTAGATCAAGGCTCTACATTCCTGTAGTGTGTTCTAGAACCTTGGGGTGAGGAATTTGTAACTTGCAAAAGTATGTTCAGTATTATAATCATTTTATATTTGGAAGGCAAGCAAACAAAAATGGCCTCCATTGTTTTGTGCTATAAATGAAAGGAGAGGATGCAGACAAAATCATCCAGACTGTGGGATGTGCAAATGTTCTGTGTGTCTATGTGTCAGGGGCCTGGAGGAAAACTGGAATGTATCTGGGGATCGGGGATGAGTGGCAGAGACATTATGCTTATCCAAGAGGAGAGGGAGCCAGGAAGTTTGGGAAACAGTGAATTAAAGTCATATAAATATGTTGGTTATAAAGACCAAGACTTTATTTCATTGTATTTTCTGCGTTTGTTAAAATATAACATAAGCATCATATTTGACATCTATTAATCCAGACTCTGCAGTAGCCCCCGGGATCTGGAGACTAGGAAGACATCACCCTGTCCTCAGGATTACATGATCTAGTACAGTGGTCGGCAAACTCATTAGTCAACAGAGCCAAATATCAACAGTACGACGATTGAAATTTCTTTTGAACGCCAAATTTTTTTAAACTTAAACTTCTTCTAATGCCACTTCTTCAAAATAGACTCGCCCAGGCCACAGTATTTTGTGGAAGAGCCACACTCAACCACATGTGGCTCAAGAGCCGCAGTTTGCCGACCACTGATCTAGTAGAGAAGACAAGACACAAGAGTTACTTATATCTTAACATTATAGGCATCATAGTAGAAGCACTTACAAAGAACGCAGGGTGAAGAGGGATTGATTTATAGTTGCTTATACAGTTCCTTATAGTTGTCAACATGGATTAACATTGGGGAACATGTACATCCCCATATAATAATACAAATATAAACAAATCCTATAAAATATAGAATCCTCACAGCTTCCCAGGAGAGGCACCATACCCAAGAGTGGATATGACTGAGGCCTACAAGGGTGAGATATAATTTGGCTAAGATATAAGTACTAGATGATCAAGGTCAGCAACCCCAGATCAAAAGGGACTCTAAGGTTAGCCTTTTTTGTGACAGCATATTACACTTGCCTGTTTTTTTTTTTGTTTTTTTGTTGTTGTTGTTTTGCTATTGTTTTGTTTTTGTTAATCTTCTCCCAAGAATATTTTTTCCATGAATTTTTAGAGAGAGTGGAAGGGAGGGGGAAAGAAAGAGAGAAACATCAATGTGAGAGAGACACATTGACTGGTTGCCCCTCCCACATGCCCTGACCAGGGCCGGGGATTGAGCCTGCTTCCAAGGTATGTGCCCTTGATCAGACTTGAACCAGAACTCTTCGGTCTGAAGGCCGATGCTCTATACACTGAGCCACGCCAGCTAGGGCTGTTTGTTTTTTCTTAATAAAAATTAAGACACAAGTTTAAGTTTCATTTTAGTCAACATTTTCAGGAATTGAAACCTGAATAAATTTGTTCTTAAGCTCCAAAATATGTTCTTCTGACAATTCGTCTCCTGCTTCAAAGGTTCACTACAGATTTGCTGTGACTGAGAGGAAAGGCCAGGCTTGGGAACCAGACAAACCTGGTTCAGATCTGGCTCAAGACTCGCTGGCTATGCCTTCTTAGACAAGCTATGCCATCTTAGACAAGCACCTCTAGTCCTCAGTCCCCCATGTGGCACGCTGGGGAAATAAGATTAAATAAGATGGACATAAGGGCACGTGGCCCTGAGTAGGTGCTCTGGCTCTGCCTCTACCACCACCACCATCTGAGCTACTGTTGTTCACCTGAATTATTGCAAATGTTTTTCTTCTTTCATTCTGGATCACTCTGATCTGCTCATTTCTGCAGAGATAACAAATGGGATTGTAAAACCATATCCTATATAATCCTATATAATAAAACCCTAACATGCAAATAGACCAAAAGGTGGAATGACTGGTCGCTATGATCTGCATTGACCACTAGGGGGTACTGACCACCTAGGAGCTGCCCTTTGGTGGTCAGTGTGCTCCCACAAGGGAAGCAGTTAGCCAGAAGCTGGGCTCACTGCTGGCAAAAGCAGAGCCTTTCCCTCCTCCGTGCAGTACTAAGGACCACTGCCTGCTTAGCCCGCTTCCCAGTGGGCCTAAGCCAGCAGTTGTACATCCCCTGAGAGGTCCTGGATTGCCCAAGGGCAGAGGCTGGGCTGAGGGACCCTCCCCCATCCTGCCCAGTGCACAAATGTTGTGTACCAGGCCTCTTGTTGAAAGATGAAAATCATCAATATGATTTATAATATTTTTTTCCAAACTGTAGCTCATGAGCCATTAGTGGTTCATAGGAACAATTTTGTGGATCACCGATGGCATGAAAACACACACATACAACAGAATAAAATAGATCAGAATAGAAATACCAGCTTGCAATGCCATGAGCATAAGTATTATTACATGAAAGTTGTTTTCTCATTATGGGTCCTGTCAAAAATGTTTGAAGGCCTCTGGCCAATGATACCCTGAAGGATATGACCCTGCCTCCTTCTTTACTCTCATTTCTCCTACTCTCCCAGTTCTCTGCTGTAGGCCTACACCAGCCTTTCTTATATCCCACCAACACAGGCTGTTTTAGTCCAATTAATGTCATCTACAAGGTCTCAGCTCAGACTCCACTTCTTCAGGCTCACCCTCTGGTCGGCGTTTAATTATTCCGTGAATAGAATGATTCTGTGATGAATGAAAGGCTTTGCGGCTAGGCTGTCCTCACTCCTGTCCCTGTCACCTGACCCAGGCCAGCACGCAGGCGCTCCGTGCAATGAATGAAGCAATGAATCCACCAACCTATCCACCAACCTGCTCTTGCCTGGCCTCCTTGTTTTCTTGGTTATTGGTTTTGTTTCTAAGCTTTGCACTTAGATAAACTGCAAGGTTCTGTACTGTCTGCCATTTTAGGAACTTCTTAGAACTCCAGGCTTCTGATCTGCTAAGGATACATAAACATGGTGTTCCGGTGCAGGCGGCTGAGCATTCGCTGGGAGGGGTAGGCTAATTTCCATTGGATTTCAGAGGGGACTCTGCCCACCTGCTCCCAGGAGACACTGTTCTTTGATCATCTCACTGCGCCATTCGCCTCCCCAAGGATCCCTGCGGGCATAGGCTCAGGACTCTGCTAGGCGCCCAGCCCAGGGGACCGTTCCTTCCCAGCCCCTCCGGTGAGGCCGACTGCTCGGATCTCACGCCCCCGGGAGCTCGCGTCCCCGCAGTCTGCGGAGGCGAGCTGGATCGGCGGCAGGTGCCTGCCTCCCGGAGCTCGGGTGCAGCCCAGGGCCGCTGCCCGCATCCCCAGCCGCGGCCGCAGGCCTCCGCAGCCTCCATCACCGCGAGGGAGGGAGGACGGGTGCGCGGGAGGCGCGGCCTCGGGACGCGGACCCGCCCCCGCCGCCGGGGCCGCCCAGCCCGGCCCCCGCAGTGCGATCGCCCGGCCGCGCCTCACCCGGTTCCGACTTCCCCTCCAGCCCTGCTCGCGCCCCGCGCCCCGCGCCTCGCTCCCCGCTGCGCCCCGCGCCCCGCCGGCCACCGGAGAGCCCGCGCCGCCCGCCCGCCGCGCCCGCAGAGGCCGCCATGGGCCCCGCGCGCTGGCTGGCGCTGGGCAGCCTCCTCGCCCTGGGCGCGCGGCTGGAAGGCCGGCTGGTGGGCGAGGGGGACCCCGGCTTCGGCGAGTGTGACCGGTTCTTCTACGCCGGGACCCCGCCCGCAGGGCTGGCGGCCGAGGGCCACGTGAAGATCTGCCAGCGCTCCGCGGGCGCCGCGCGCTTCGCCACCCTGTACAGCCCCGCGGCCCGCGGGCCCGTGTTCTCCGCCTTCCGCGCCCCGCGCCCCGCGCCCGCCGGCGCCGAGCCGCACTGGCTGGTGGAGCCGCAGGTAAGGGAGGTGGGTCCCCGGCCCCGCGCCGGGGGTGCCCCCTGGGGTAGGACTGGGAAAAGCAGCCCCCACGCCCTCGGTGTCAGGGTCAGGAAACCCGGGTTTCGGACCCACCCACTGCGCCCCTTTAGGTACAGCCTATCTGGCGGCCCCTGTCGACGCCACCGCCACCGCAGGCAGGAGCTCGGCGACATCCGAGCCTTCGCCTAAGCCGCAGGGGCCGGAGGTGGTGCTCTCGGCGTTTCTCTCAGACGTCTGCAGAGCTTCATTCATTTCCTGAGAGGAGAGGGGCGTGAGAGCAAGGCCGTGGCCACCCTGCAGATGAGCGGGAACCCCAGGCTGGGAGCTCACAGGCCTTGGGGCGGGTCATGGTCACAGTTTTTAGGCAGGGGGTGGGCATGCTCATGCCCATTTTGCAAAAGGGAAGATGGAGGAGGCTCAGGAGGAAGAGGCCTGGGGAAGGGAGGACCGCCTGGCTGGGAAGCTGGGGCAGGTCTCTTGGCTAGAAGTTCACTGCCCTTCCTACGAGGGAAAGCTGACTTCTGCAGAGGCCGCCTGAGCCTGAAGCCATTATTCCCTTATGCCCAGACAGCCAGTACATTCTGTCTGCAGTTGTGTTGAGTTGGGACAATAACATAAAGGTATAGGCTCTTAGGAATGCAATGAGAGAGTTACAAATAACATGGAAACATTGACTACCTGCGGTTAATGCAAAGGACAAACCAGTTTTTCCTGACTCTTTATGTCTATGTTACTTGGAAGTCATGCCCACTTCCAGGGTGTTCTGTCATGTTTGGGGAAAGTAACCAAACACTCCAACAGGCCCCCAGAGGCCCTGCTGAACCTGACAGCATGTGCTGCCCACCTCAGCTCAGCCAGCCTCCTTCCCCTGCCCCTCAATATATTTTTATTGATTTCAGAGAAGAGAGAGGGAGCAAGAAATAGAAACATCAATGATGAGAGAGAATCATTGATCAGCTGCCTCCTGCATGTCCCCCTGCACTGGGTGTGCCCTGACTGGGAATTGAACTGTTACCTGGTTCATAGGTTGACCCTCAACTACTGAGCCACACCGGCTGGACTAGCCAGCCTCCCCTTTGGCCAGTTCTCCGCCTCTCATCAGCCTCTCACCTACCTCTGTGCATGCCCCAGCTACCCAGGCCATCCAGGTGACTGAGGAATTGAGCCACTCAGCCCGCCCATTCACGATGGCCTCACCTCTGCAGGACCACGTGGGTGAACCGGAGACCTGATTTCAGGCGCTTCGTTCAGAACCCTGGAGCGTAATCTCTGTCATCGCCGTCAGATATTTCTAGCTCTGAGAGTTTGCCAAGCCATCTGCACCTCAGTCTCCTTACCTTCCCCACCTCCATCCCACCTTCCTCCCCTGCCCATGTCAGAACCTCTGAGGTCAGGCATGTGCAAACGCCTTTGTAAAGTGGGCACACGCAGGACATACGGTATCCAAAGTTAGCTTGCCCCCCGCGGCACCCTCTGTGCGCTCTCCATATCCTCCAGCTCATTGGGCATTGTGAGGGTGGGCCCGTGAGGAAAAGAGATGACGATCGGGTCTTTACTCCTCGAGGATCTCATGGACACCTCGGGAAGATAGGACGGGGAGGCACGGGAATGCATTTAGCAATCACCTACTGTGCGCCAGGCACTGAGGGTACCGGGAGAATAGCGTGTCGCTCTTGAACTCAGAGGCTTGCTGGCCTTCAGGTGAAGCATGCTGGGTGGAGCGATGGCGTGGGTTAGTCCTTCCATGGGTAGCTGTAAACGTGGCGGTAATTATAGGGTGGTTCTGAGAACTAAATGAGTGACTATATGCAATGTCCTCGGAGAGGTGCTGGCATCTGATTCTTATGACATAAGCAAGCCCCATAATGTAATAAAGGTAAACAAAGTCTGATTCTGTTTAATCTACCCTCGGAGGTGATAGGGAAAGCCCTGGGGTCAGGATGACATTGGTGCTGTGTGCTTCGCAGGATGGAGCGGAATCCAGAAGGGAGACCGCAGCAGGAAGGTATTCCAGAGCAGATTCAGGGATTAGTAAGGGGCGTGGGGAGTGGTTGGGGCAGCTGTAAATGGAGTGGATTACAATCTATTCCTGAGTTCAGAAGGAAGGGGAGTCATGAGAGGGAGGGGTCCGGTGTGAAGGAGTCATCAAGGAGTGCTCAGTTATTGAAGGAGTCACAAAGGAACAAGGGTGAGCAGAGAGGAAGTGGACAGAGCCCCACCTCAGCCTGGGCCTTTGGAGGTGGGGGTGGGTGATGAGGAACGGGACTAAGGAGGTAAAAGAGATTGAGGAAGGAGAAATAGTTCCAGCGGTGGCTCTGGAGGTGAGCCCTACAGTGGTTTGGAGAAGTACAGGAGCCAGAGTTCTTAGCTGGGGAGGTCTGAATGGTCACAGGGCTGATACCTCCCCCTGCAAGCTGGGCTTCGTCCTCCTTCCCTCCTTTCCCGCAGGTCCACGGAAGTCAGGAGGGAGGGGAAGGAGCTGCGAGATGAGATGCGGGCAGCTCTGGAGCTCACTGCAGCAAACCTGACCGCCCTGCCTGCAGCCGGCTCCCCAGGCCTGCCTCTCCTCACTGCAGAAGGGTGCCCAGGGCTCCGTGTGACTTCTGGCTGCTTCCTAGCTGTTTGAATACTGAGTCACCTGTGCCCACATCACCTTTTAATGAGGTTAGCATCGCAGAGAGGCCGAGCAGACAGGGGAGGAGGAGGTAGAGCCCAGAGGAGCTGTAGGCTGGCCATTGGCGATGAGCCAGGCAGGGCTGCCCTGGCCCTGGGGCTCCTCAAGCCCAATCCGGGAGCTCTTACGGCTGTCCTGCAGTTTCCCTCTGAAAGAACAACTCCTAAGTTGAAAATTGAGTCACTCTTGTGCTTAAAACCTTTAAAGTATTGGCTGCCCCACACCTACAGGACAATGTTCACCAGCCCCCCTGCCCTGCCTCCAGCCCCAGGCTTGTTTCTGACTCCGCCCCCTTCTCACTTGCCAGGTCCTAGCATTGTCCAGCTGCCTTGAGCGCCTCTCATAAACCATATTGTTTACCGCATCGGTTTCTTTGCTCATGGTCATTATTCCTTTTGCCCCAAATGCCCTTTCTACACTGCCCTCATCTTGCTTCTCACTTCTCCCTCCCCTGCTCTATCCTTTAAAACTGCCAAGGTGTCACCTCTTCCAGAAAGAATGGCACACCTGAGTTGGGTCCACCACTCCGTGCTCCTATAATTTATTGTTGTACTTACCACATTGTTTTAGAATTACCTGCTTATGTGTCTGTCTCCCAGTGTGAGCTCCTGAGGACAGCTTTTTGTTCATGCTTGTATTCCAAGTGCCTACCATGTACAAAGCACTCAATGACTATTGAATAACATAATTTGATATTAGGGTCAGTCAGGCAGTGGGTGAGAGATTCAGCTGGGGCTTTCTTGGGGGGAGCTTACTGCCTCAGGAGCCTGTCCTGTCACTGGCCAGCAGCCACTGTTACAAACACGTTCCATGTGTGGCGCTGGAACCTTCCTCTGTCTACCCATCATTCCTAGCGCTACCCCAGATGATCTGGGTTTTTGCTCTGGATGACAGCTCTTTCATGTCCGACACAGCAGTCCGTGTCTGCCCACACTGCAGGAATTTAAATGGGATTTCTGAGGAACAGAATGAGAACTTTGAAATGAAGCAGAGAGCCCTAGCCAGTTTGGCTTAGTGGACCGAGCATTGGTTTGCAGTCTGAAGGGTCCCAGGTTTGATTCCAGTCAAGGGCATATAGCTCAGGTTGCAGGCTTGATCCCCAGTGTGGGGGTAAGGGAGGGGGTGTGCAGGAGGCAGCCGATCAATGATTCTCTTATCATTGATGTTTCTCTCTCTCTCCCTCTCCCTCTCCCTCTCCCTCTCTGAAATAAATTTTTAAAAAATCCTATCTAATAAAAGAGTAATATGCAAATTAATCATCACTCTGCAACAAAAATGGCAGCCCCCATAGCCTCATAGCGGTGCCCAGTCCCCTTAGCTCTGCTGCTGGAGTGTCTGGGCCTGTTCGCCTCAGGGAGCAGATTCAGCCTTCCCGCTCCACCAGTGCTGCAGCGGTTGGGTCCCTCAGCCCCGTGGGGGTTCTCGCAGACCAAGCAACAAGCTGGATCTGCCCCCAGACACAGCAGACAAAGCCTGGACAGCAGGGCTTGGGTGCTTCCTTAGTAAGGTGGTGACGGGAACATCCCCAGGCCCTGCAGACACAGCCAGGACAACAGGGGATAGGGGCTTCCTTAGTCTGTCAGTGTCGGCGAAGCCCCCAGGCCTGGCAGAGCACACTGCAGGGCATTGGGGCTTTCTTCACATGGCACATGGCGAGGTAGGCAGAGAGCAGACAGCAGGGCATGGGAGCTTCATTTCCATGGCTGCAGCGAGACCCCCAGGCCCTGCAGAGAACAGAGAATCATGGGAGTAGGCCTAAGCCATCAGTTGGACATCCCCTGAGAGCTTCTGGATTGTAGAGGGTGCAGGTTGAGCTGAGGGACCCCTGTGCACGAATTTTGTGCACTGGGCCTCTAGTATATATATTTAAAACGAAGCAGAGAAAACAGCTGCCTTAGGTTTTATGTGGAATGTGGTCACCTTTAAATTGAGAATGGGGGGAAGGTGGGAGAGAGAAAGAGAGAGAGGAAGAGGAGAGATGAGAAGAGAAAATGTGTTCCTGTTAGCATGGTGCCAATGGTGTGGAGGTTTCCAGTCAAAACTCCAAGACTCCGGAGACCTGAGACCTGGGTTCTCAGTACAGGGAGCCTCAAACCATTCAGTTTCTCAAGTCCTTCCCGCTTAGTGGGAGGCTGTGGATGAGATGCCCATGACGCCTTTCTAAAGTACATTGTCAGTTCATGCCATCACATAAGACCATCATTTCATGAACACGAATACTAGAAATATCTGGTTTTAGATTCCACTTACAATTATTTCAACTTGCACAAACACTGTGAGGTAGATATCATTTTCTTCAGAGTAG